AATTAAAAGAAGAAGATATTATTGCCACTAATCAGCATAACAATTTGATATATCGCATAATTTTACGGTGTGAAAGATTAAATTATTATTTAGGACTAAATAAAATTTCCGGCATTCTCTTTCGTGATATTATCCACAACGAAAAAAGAGGATTGCAAAAATCAATCGATCAAATAATATACGGCTCAACTTATAAGCAAAGCAATGTCAAAAGTCTGCTGCAAGGTTTAAGTGGCAAAGAGGGCATACTTCGTCGTTACTCATTGGGAAAAAGAGTGGATTACTCGGCTCGTTCGGTAATTGTCCCTAATCCTAGTTTGTTCCTGGATCAAATAGGGTTGCCGGTCAAAATGGCTCTGACTCTTTGCAAACCTTTCGTTATCCACCGGGTATTAAAAGAAAAAATCGCTTTTACTATTAAGGAAGCCGAACAAATGCTGCAGCAGGAGAACCCGCGTATTTTTCCTCTGCTAGCCGAGATCGTTCAGGAGCGTCTGGTTATAGTTAACCGCGCCCCCAGTTTGCATGGACCAAGTCTCCAAGCCGTCCGTATAGTGTTGACTTTAGGACATTCAATCGAACTTCACCCACTAATAACTACGGCTCTAAATGCCGACTTTGACGGCGACCAAGTGGCCATTTACATGATTCTAACCGAAAAAGCACGCAAAGAGGCTGAGGAACTTTTTCTTTCTTCTCATCTCATTATTGACCGAAAGAACGGTCAATTGTTAGCAACACCCAGCCAAGACATGATTTTGGGCGTTCATTATTTAACCAAAGAGGAAAAAAAACCAAAAGTAATTTTTTTCAACGAAATAGGCAACATTTACAAAAGTCGGGAAAAAGGAAAAATAAGCCTTCACGACTTAGTTGCTATCCCTGCTCCTCTTGCTGGTCGTCACTTAGCCACGGCGCAGAACCAGTTCCTCTTTACCACTTTGGGAAAAATTATTTTCAACCGAATTTTACCGTCTAGTTTTCCCTACTACATTAATGACTTAAAAGCCTATAATGAGGAAAGTAATCAAGAAATTGATCTAGTTGAAGTAGACAAAATTGCCAAAAAATGAGAAGAATATCAACCGCTTGGAGGCTGAAAAAAAAAAAATTTGACTGCTTTTTTGAATAAATTGTCCCGAATAACGCCACGCTCGGAAATGGTGGAATTTCTCGACAAGTTAAAAAATATTGGTTTCGACCACGCCACCTGCTCGGGAATTAGTATTTCCCCCTTTGAAGTAGAGAAAATTGTCCCCAACAAAGAAAAAATTTTAGCGGCAACTGAAAAAAAAGCGACCCAAATTAACGACCATTTTACTCAGGGTTTCTATAGCGAAGAAGAAAGAAAACAAAGAATGATTACCGTTTGAGAAGAGTGCAAGGAGAGTTTGAAAGAGCAATTAATAATTAATCTAGCCAAAAAAAAACAGACTTCTTTTTACCACATTTGAGATTCAGGAGCTCGAGCTAGTGATGAAAGTATCACCCAAATTTTCGGCATGCGAGGTAATATTACCGATTATTCAGGACGGATTATTGAAACGTCAATCGTTTCTTCCTTATGAGAAGGATTGAACCCTTTCGAGTTCCAAATTTCAACTCTTGGAGCAACCAAAGGAATGATTGATATTGCCTTAAAAACGGCCGAAGCGGGCTATTTAACCCGCCGCTTGGTAGAATCAGCCCAAAGTTTAATTATTCTTTCTCCCGATTGCGGAACCAATTCCATTTCGTTCTTGACTGAAAACGATCTGTCCCTTGAAAAAAGGATTTATGGTCGCTATTTAGCCCAAGACATTTTGAACCAAAAGGGAAAAATTGTTTTAGCCCGTAATACCCTTTTATTAGAAAAAGAAATCAAGATAATTCAAGACCATAAAGTTATGGAAGTGGGAGTTTTTTCTCCGCTGACTTGTCAATTAGTAGACGGAATTTGCCAAAAGTGTTATGGTCTGGACTTGAGCCGACCTGGTGAACCAGTGGCTCTGGGGACAGCCGTCGGAATAATTGCGGCTCAATCATTAGGAGAACCCGGAACTCAATTGACCATGCGGACTTTCCACCGAGGGGGAATAGCTGGTGACGAAGATATTACTCAAGGTTTGCCAAAGGTCAAACAAATATTTGATAACATTAAACCAGAAAAAGACGAGAAAGCTATTTTAGCACAGTTTTCCGGAGAAATAGTAAGCGTGGAGGAAAAAAAAATCAAACAAAAAAATGAGGAAAGTGGGGAAGTTAAAACTTATCCTCTAGGAAAGAAAATAGCCGCCCGAGTCAACCCTGGGGATTTGGTAAAAAAAGGAGAAAGATTGACCGGCGGAAAGATAGATTTAGAAGAATATTTAGAAATTATGGGTCGAGAAAAATGTCAAGATTACATTAGAGAAGGCGTGCGAAAAGTCTACGATAACCAAGGCATAGACATCAATGAAAAACACATTGAAATATTCGCTCGGCAAATGCTCTCCAAGGTCGAAATAATTAACAGTGGGGACAGTGATTATCTGGTGGGGGACTTAGTAGATTATCAGCAATTAGAAAAAAAAAATCGGGAATTATTAGCCCAACAAAAAAAACCTGCCACCTATAAAAATATCATTTTAAGTTTGAAAGATTTAGCTT